GGGAGTAAGAGAGAGAGAGAGAGAGAGAGAGAGAGAAAAAAAAAGAGACTTGTCCATGAAGCCCCGCACACCAGACTGACGACTCCATGACAAGCCCCATGGCTTGCGACTTGCCAAAACTTGAATCGTAGCGTGACAAAGCGACTGGCACCGGTATCTGCATCTGCAACTACCGATCCCCCAAGACTTGGGAGCCGCGCGGTGCACGCCCGGGAGGGAATGCCTCCACACCTGGGAAGCAATCCGACGCAGGCAAGGGCCGCCCATACTCTTCCCAACCCTGCGCTGCGGCGCCCAGAATCCTTGTTGGCAAATCCCATCCCAACCATGTATCCGCACCCTCAACAAAAACCCTGCGCACTACTGCCCAAGTACTCTGGAACGAGGCACGTCAAAGCCAGATCGCTGGCCCTTGCGGGTCGGCGGCTTGAATTTCCAGTACCTGGCAAGTCCACTGCAAGCTTTAAGGGCTCTCTGTGGCTGATGCTCATCATCAACAACATGATCATGCTCACCATCCTGGCCACGATGCTGACCAGGGCCACCGTCAATCACCAGGATCATCATCCACGGCATCATCATCCTCGCCACCACCACCACCCCGACGTTGATAGAACATCGCAGACGAGTAGCACTTAGAAATGTCCGCATGTTATGACATGGCAGGAACAACACCTGTAACAGTGACAAACCGGTGGTCTGATGATAGTGCCTACGGGGCCACAGACACGGCTATGCTGCTGGTGCTGACGGTACACTGTCCTTCAGTATTATAGCCAGCGCCACTTCCCACGATCAACCCCATTTCCATGGCTCTGATCATTGCAAACACCATAGTTGTCATTCTTCTTGCTGTTGATATCAATCTACCGATGTTCTACTGTGTTTTGTGGCATCTGCCGCAGCATCGTGGCATATGATATGTCTTATCATGAAACCTCAAACAGCCGCTAAGCACTAGGATCCGAATTTTGTCAGTATAAAAGCCCTCAGTAAGCCTATTTTCAGAACCCGCTGTATCGAGACTGCAAGGCCAAGGTCACGGGCCAAAGTCGAAGGAAGCACGGCCTCGCAGGGGGCTTGCTCTGCTTGGGACGGAATTGACGTCTTGGGACGGAATTGACGTCTTGGGCTCTTTTGCCTGACGGCTTTAGGGTTTTACACTCTCCCAACTCGGACTTGCCTCTGGTACAGGTCGGCGTGATACAGAATTCGCTCCCCCGACTGCGACTATACAAGAGGCCCCCGCAAAGCAAGGAGAGAGAGAAACAACCAAACCAGGAGATACCATTACAAGGCCACGCAGGGTGTCGGCGCTCACTCTCGGACGCGCAGGGCCGACGCTCTCGCAACTCGGACTCCGCCAGACGAGCCACGCAGGGGGGTAGGGTTTGGGATTCTTGGCCTTGCTAGGACGCCTGCCCCCAAGGCAAAGAGCTTACAACACACGCATGTTGCCCTGCGCGCGCTGCTCTTGGGCATCAGTCGGGCTGAAGGCTGATCGTAGACGAGAGCACCCGACACGTCATACTCACATCCCCTGGCAACCCCGAGGCAGTAAACTTCCAGCATCGCCCCAACCCGTCCTTTTATGTCCTCCATCAAACCCGAAATACGAAAATCGAAATCCTGCACTCTACCGGCGCTGAAGTCTCGCCTTTTATCGACATCGCCGGGTAGACCTTCACACCTGAGCGGTGCTGTGGGCTTCGTCAGGTACTCTAAACTCTCAAGAAAAACAACACCCTAAAACTTAAAGGCCGTCCCTTTCCTGTTCCGAGAGCGATGCTCACAAACTGAAACGCACTGGTCTTAGTATGCTGATAACGGTACCTGCTCGTATTTCCAGCCACAATGCTGCAATGCCTCAACACTCAATACCGCTGGAAGGCCCCTCCTTCCCTCCTTGGCTTTTGTAGCCGACATCTATGCGTCAGCAAACCCCGACGCAAAACTCCAACTCCGGACCCCCCAAGCCGTCCCCAAACCGTTTGCAAAGCAAAAAGCTACCAGGTACAGAGCTCGAAACCTGGACCTCTGCCCTGAATCACATATATTAATAGTCGGTTCAGACAACGCCCAAAGCAACTGCGGCCCCCAATAAGGCGCGAGCCCGCTGGGAGCAGGTCCTGCTGGAAGTTGCTTCCAAAATGGGGTTTAACTCTGCTTCCCTTCACCCTAAACCGTAGACCGGTGGCTCAATCAGAAGGCCATAGTCGAAAGTTCAAGGTTGGGGTACGCTTGAAATTTTGCTAGACACTGAGAAGTGAAACTGACAAACCCCACTTTACGTCCTAAGCCGCACAACCTGCGCATGACGATGCCCCGCAAACTTTGAGACTGAGTGGCCCGGGGACTGAACTTATTATGCGACGGACATGAACTGAGTTGCGAAGACACATGAACGTGCCGATTGCTTGGCAGAACGAGGTGTCCGATTCGACTTGGCGAACTGTGGCGACAACAGTGTTCAGTCTCGTCGGGAAAACCCATTTCAACCTACTCCGGCCCTGGCGGCCTCGTCGAAGGTGGGGGCCTCCGCCCATTTGGAGTCCCACTGCCCGTCCGTGGTGCAGTACATCTTTCCTGAACTCGCGGCTTCCACATGCTTCGAGTCGGCCATGCAAAGTTCAAGCTCTTTTTTCAGACGTCGAACCAACCATGACATCACAGCCGATCGGGTGAGCCACCCCTAAAACATGCACACTTATGTGCATCTGAACCAGCCCAGTGCGCGGAAGTCTCACCAACCCCGAACACTTGGTAGTAGCTCCACCGACCTTTACTTTAAACTGCAGGCAAAGTAACTTGTTGAAGAGACTCCGTCAATCAGCCAAACTCAAGAACAGAATGCACAACACAACCCGTCTGAGGGCCCAGATCTTTTCTTTCGGCTCGGCCGGTGTGATTCCACTCTGTCAGCCGGAGGCCCTGTTGCTCCATCCACAACTGCAGCCTGATATAACTCATCAGCCCGAGCCAAAACAATTTATCCTGAAGTCTTGCACCGGCATAACATGAAGCCAGGTGTCTCTGGTCCAAGTCCACCGCTACACACACCGTCACCTGGCATCGGAAGCTTCGGCTTCGGCTTTGACAAGCAGCCTCAAGCCCTCATCCTCTGATATCTATGCATGTGTAGGTGTGCATACAGAACATAATAAAAGCTGATGGAAGCTGGTCTTGAATATGTTCATATTCATTGTGCTTCCTGTTGCTATATACTACATGAAATCAAAGTCTGGATGCCATCGGCTACCGAAAAGCCACTCGCTTGAGCTTGCTTGAATGCTAATGCTTTGCATCCCCAAATTGAAGCGCCCTCCGTTACCATGTTTAGAAGTGCGGGCCCAAGCTTGGAAAATCGTTTCAGCCCCTTGATGCAGCCCGACTTACGGCCAAGTGGCCAAGTACTCGAGCGACCAAACAACGAGACAGTTCACTTTGCCAATAGATGCGGAGGCAAATCTGAAGTCTGGAGACCAGCCCTGTCAAACAAGTTCGTACTGTGTCCCTAGAATCCTATGCAGGCCCCAAAACTCGGTAGGAAAATGAGATCCTGGCATCCTCACTGAGCCGCCGCGTGCCCTGCCCAAGCGGGCACATGGAGTTCAAAGTGCCGTTTCGGACATTTTGTCATAGTCACCGACATGGAAACGTCTTCTGGGGAGAAGGCGGTTCCGAGATGGGACAATTTCAAATCTGAACGCAGAAGGGTGATAATTACGCCCTTTCCCTTCGTCTACGGGCACTCCCTGACAAGGATGGTTACATGGCCGCCAAGATCAGTCTGATGGTGTGAAAATGCATCGAATTGAAGGCCGATCCCTAAACCCATCAATCAAGGGGACTAAACCAGAAACCCTTTTGCATCCAGGACTCTCGCAACCAGCCATCCAGAAACCCTAAAACCCTGAACCTAAACCCTTTTTGCAACTGGCGTGCAACGTCACGCCAGGACAGCACCCTGAACCCTAAACCCTACACTCTGAACCCTATAAACCCTGAACCCTAAACCCAAAACCCTTTAAACCCTGAACCCTAAACCCTAAACCGGATCCCTCCCAAAAAGGGCTGGTGGCACCGCAGGTAGGGACCTCCACGGAAGGCCAGGTCTGCCCCCAGGGGAGCGCCTCGCCTGGCTACTTTCACTGCGACGGGCTTCGAACAATCTCGACCTTGAAGGCTCATCGTATTACATGAAGTCAAACTATGTTATATTATACTATATTATACTATAGTATAGTATAGTATATTTATGTTCTACTATTCTACTACAGTATAATTGAAGTATGAAACACAAAAAGAAAATGGCATTGTGTCGTATCGTAGAGTTTAGTGATGTATCTTTGAGGCTTGAGGCCCAAAGAGGCAGGCTCCCACACGAGACTGGGGCTGGGGGTCAGCTTTTCATGTCATCTTCAGGCTGAAGAGGTCTCAAGTAGGCACAGCGGACCTCGATGCCAGCGGATTGCGCTCTGACCATCAACAGCCTTAGCAAAGTCGTCAGTTGCGAGCGAGATTAAAAACCGCTTCCCCTTCGAAGCATGCTGTACTCCCATTTGGGGGCGGAGGGGTGTGAGCAGGTCGAAGACACTGTGCTTGTTGCGTCCAGGGCTGACCCGGGTCGGAGTCTGCAACTCACTTCTCTGAGAGCAAAACCAAGAAGTCGATTTTAGTTATCCGGCGAGACGTCGGAAGTCTGGGCTAAGGGCCAAGACATCCATACGAGCACCTGTCGCTCTTCATCTAGCAGGTCCTCGCCAAACCGACTGGCTTCAGGCATCTCATGACACCTTGAAACAAAGGACGGAGAGGACAATGGGGGTATGGACTTGAAAAGAATCCCGCCACCATCATCTCCTGTCCGAAAACCGCAGCTCTGAGGAGCCAGAGTCAACTCTCCTGGCATGCACCCGGATCTAGGCCCTTTCTACCGGAACCCCCTAATATAAGCCTGAATGGTTTCGGAGCCTTGGCTCTGGTGATCTCCCTTAGCCTTAGCGCTTGAAGCCACTCATGAGGTGGTTCACGAGTTGCTTCAGCTCGGTCTTCTGAACCCCTCCGGAGGAATCGTGGTCAAGCTCCTGGGCGGCCTCATGAATCTCATCGTCGCTTCGAGTTTCCCCCGTCTCCTTCAACACCTGCTTCAGGAGGCCTTTTGTTTCGCTCATGTCCAAAACCCCGTCGCCGTTCGCATCGAACTGGTTGAAGATGTCTTTCACCACGGCATCTGTGTGCGACTGGTCGAAGCGCTGGATCACCGCGGATTCGAAGGCCTCGCTCGAGGGCTGCGGCGGCATCGTCGTGCGGCCGGCGAGGAAGCCCAGCCCCAGCAATGCGAAGCCGAGCAAGCCCAAACCAAAAGCGAGGCGCCCAGGCATGCTTGCGCCTGGCAGGCGCATGTTCCCAAGGAGTTCGGAGCGCTGCTCCTCCACGTCCGAGGAGGTTTCCAGCACGTGAGAGTTGGCCTGCATGGCTGCTGGGCGGAGCAGGTGCCGAGAGGGAGAAAGCGCTGGGAGCCACAAGTCCTCTCCTGTGGACGTATGGACCCCTTCCGCCAAAGTTCCTGATTGTTAACCACCACTGCGACCACAGCCATGACCAACCAACAACCATCACTTTGGCTATCGCTGCGGCATGACACGGCCGCTATGGAAATGTCTACTACTAAAACTTCATGTGTGCAATGAGGCCCCCACCCAGCCGTTTTCGCAGTCGCCAACACCCTGTGGCGACAACGGGTTTCAAGATCCCAGACACTCCCTGATTCCTCAATCTGGGATTTTGCCAACGTGCCGCCCAGATCCCCTCATCTGTGCCTGGGTGCTGGGCGCTCCAGGCTGCCGTTTGAACTCCTGCAAGCCGCGGCTGTCTGATGCAACACTCCATCACCTCTCTTATCCCATGATATGTACAGACTGCAACCTGTCGGCAGTTTTGCATCAAGCCGGGCCCGTCGCCTCGCTGAGGAGGCCCACCTGCGGAGCCTCGGCGCCTGCAGTCGGGCTGTCGGACGGGGCTGCATCAAATTTAGGGTTTGCTGGCTGCTGCATTGCACGACAAAGTGTGTATGGCATGTTGGGTGTAGTGTAGACAGTCCTACAGTTCGCACTCCAGCCCAAACGGCGGCTGGTCCTCGCCTCGGACCACCGTGGAACCCTGAAGCTGTGTCACACAGGCTTTCAGAACCGAAGCACTATCCGGGCCTGCGATCAAGTTTACTTCAAAGTAGTACTTGCCGCTGCCCTGCGTGCAAAGTTGATGCGAGCGGAAGTTAGAGAATCGTTCAGGACTCTGCAGACTCTCCACGGGTTCACCCTTGACTGGTTCAACCAAATATGCAGGCTCGAAGTAATTGTCGGCAGTCAACGCACGAGAATGTCGACAGGCAATGTGGCTGTGACTGACACCCTGTACTCTATGCAACTGATCCTCACTGAGTCGTTTAGGGCTAGACTTTGTGCACACTCGGCTCAGGCTTCTCCAAACGGCCCAGGGCCTGTGACCTACCTGCAACTACCTGCGAAGCACAAATGGACTTAAACAAAACCTGGAAGCGCTGCTACGCGGATGCGCGTCTTCATCGCAAGCCTGTGCCAGCTTCGGATAGCCAAGGGTGACCCAGTCCATGACAGGATCCTGCGGTCTGTGCTTGAGCGGGGGTTTGTCTCCACTGGGCATCTCGTTCAAAAGCTTTGAAAGCCCTGCTTCCGGGTTTGCGGGACGCGTCTCCAAGCAACAGCGTCAGCGGGCCGGAACCCACGGAACCAGAAACGCATGTACCTCAGCTTCTGTAGAGAGCATTGACGAACCCGATCTCCTCCGTGGAGCCGCGCAGCAGCTCAGCGCGCACGGTTCCCTTGGAAGCCCCCGCCTGGCTAAGGCGTCCGGGGGGCAGGATGTTAGGGTTTCGTTTAAGTTTAGGGTGTAGGAAGGCTTTGGCTCTGGAGTTCGTTAAGTAAACATGATCGACTTGTCATCGAAAACAGCGGCATAAGACACATGAGAAGCTTGAAGAACTACTTCGTGACAGCGAAAGCCTAGCATTCGCAGGCTTGGGCGCTACGCGGTGAAGCAGATGGTGCATCGCGATTGAGGCTTTCCACTCGGAGTGCTGTGCCCACACACTGCGAGGCCTTGCTAAGCTGTCTGTGCAAGAATGCTTGCGAGAACCCCACAATAGGGCCCCGTCCTTTTGTGGGATTTTGACTTTGGGGAGCTGTGGCCCTGATGACGGTCCTTTCTCCAGCGCGGGGGGCAGTGGACCAACCCTCGAAGACTCAAACCATCCTAAACTGAAAACAAGACATCGCTGCCCACACACATGCCTGGATAGCAACCTACACTCCATTCCCCACAACAACCCTCAGGCAAACTCGTCAGCCTAAAGTCCAACAGGCAATTATTGGAGAACATGAACTTGTAATGTCTATGCAGCATCCCCCCAAACAGGTGTCAAGCCCACTCGTGCATGGGTTGCCACGAGAATGACCTTAGCCGTCTGGAAGCTGTGCTGGCCAAACGGCTTGGAGAACTGAATCATTGTATTTAAAGCAAACTCTGTATATGTATATATATATACATACATATATATATATACTTATAAACATCTGTACCTGTATCCATCGATCTATATCTGCATACGTGCAGATATTATATACACATATATGTATACATATACATATATATATATATACATAGTATTGCATATTACAAGTTCAGGCTCTCAAACCTTCGACCCTGAGCTCCCACCCAGCACCACGGCAGATAACGGCAGACTCAGACGAGCACGAAGTCATTGCAACAGCAACGCCGTAGTAGTCGCAAGAACAGCAGTGAGGGCAAGAGCAAGTCATACCAATAAGGCCAGGAAAAAGCGAAAGCACTAACAGAACGACCTGTCGTGATCACGATGGTGGACCTTCATAACCACAGGCCACAACCCCGAAACTGCAAGTGGCAAGACACCAAAAACTAGACTCACCAACCCACGGCAGAAACAAGCCTAGCGGAGGTGATGATGAGACAAAAGCAAAAGAAGCAAAATAGCCAAACAATGAAGAGTGTGATGACGTAATGACAAAAAACATTGATGACAGCAAGCATGGTTCCCGGGTTTCGGTGGCTACCCCGAAGTAATGCTCCCGATCGAAGCCGCTGAAGTCTGAAGGTTCTTTCAGCGCCGAACTACGAGGGTGTCTGTGAATGCACATCTGTACATGTGCGTGTAGATTTGGAAAGCTACCTCTACTCATACAATCGTGCCTTTACTCACGGAATGCTCCACAATTGCACACGTACACAAACACATGAGCGCATTCTGTTATTTCACAGAAACTATCAAGCTGCTACAAGCAACGGGCTGCGAACACCCGAATGCTGCAATGAAAGCCTTGCTGCTGTATGCTCCTCCCTTTTCTTTCAAGTTCCGGGGACGTGGCTCCCTGGAGTTCGTTGTCGTTGTACTCCTCGGCTGTGTGACGATTTCGGCGCTCGGTGCATGCTACCAGGAGCACGGTTCTCCTTCCTTCTACGGTTGGGCCGACGGTTGGGGCTGTAGAAGTTTCAACAAAACCAGCTACGTTTACACTGGTTGGGCGGTACACTACTAGTATGTAGGCGCCTTGGAGTTGAGACTGCATGTCAGCTTGTTAAGCATGGGCCTCTCCGGCTCGGAGACGCAAGGCATTGGCTTCTTTCAGGGTTTGCGGCTGCTTGCTACTAGTAGGAGCAAGGCACCCAGGCAATCCTGCTGATTTCTCTTCACGTCCGAAGCTTCCAGACGATGCAGCAGAGTCTGCGGGCTCTGTTGGGGCTCGCGAAATGGAGTCACTAGCACGATAAACGATGCTAAACGACTGAAGCACAAAGCCCTCCTCAAGCACTAAGTCACTAAGAACCCCAACTACGATCCTCTACGCAGGACGTCCCTCAAAAATGTGCTATTAGAAAACCCAGAGGCTTTTCTCGGACCCCCGTGGACCCTGACACATACGGCAACACGGTTTACCGTGGAGTCTCTGCCTTCGAGTTGAGTTGGACTCTCGGACTTGCGGAACGGAGCCTCGTTGTTTCAAAATTCCTACGACCTGGCTTACGCTTCTATTGCTTCGAATCGCGACGCTCCAGCTGCAGGAGTCAGGAGAATACACCATAAGCGTCTCGAAGGTGAAGAGTCTAGAATGCGGGCCAGGTCGCGTTCAGCACATGCGCGTACTTGTCCAACACAGCAAGTCTCGACCTCCGCAGTCAACCATGCATCGCTCACTCGGACTGTGATGATGCACACAGTGTTTATGACTGTGTCAATGCAAATAGGAGTCGTATCCTTTGACCTCAGTTGTGCTGTTCCTGTCATTCTTCTTCTGCTTGGCACTGACGGACAAGTGCAGGAAAGGTAGCAGCAGTCGTCATAGTCGTCACCGTCGTGGATGTTGTAGCTGCAGGGAGACGCAGCTGCGGTGGCAGCGGTAGGCAGGGCAGTCATGGTGGCAGCGTTCGTGGTCGTACTCTTTCGTCTTCTTGCTACTCGCAACTCTGGGTAAAGCTGTCGTCGTGGGGGCAGCGGCGGCGGTGTTGTTATTCGTTTCAACACAACAGCAAGAAAAAGTGAGCTGATTCACAAGCAAAGACCGCCTCGGTCAAGCGGCCATCACCCGTGGGTGCTGCTTCGGCGGGATGGCTCAGGGCGCAACCCTTGAATTCCTCCAGAGTCTGTGCTCGCGAAGGTACAGCGAAGGCGCACGTCCTCCGCTGAAAATGGCGCACACGAGACAACACGAGTCGAATCCAATTCTTCGTGGCCAGAGCGAGAAGCCTAAAGCCGTCCTTCAGCACTAAGTAGGAGTCGCCATACTGCCTGGCAAAGGGACACCGAGAGACTGCGACTCGGAATGTGTGGTCATGGTCCAGGCCTGAGCGAGAGGGGTGATAAGACTGTAGGACCTAGGACCTAAGAGAGAGCCGCTTCCATGCATCAGGATGCGTTGATGGTCCCCAATTGTCACAAGCACTGCTGCATCCATTGGTAGCCAAAACAGAAAGACCAGATGTAACACAAGAAGGCACCGACGCTGCCGCCCTGGCACGTAAGAAGCAGGCGAAGACAGCTAGAGACGAAAAATCAGGGGGGCTGGGGCGAAACTCAAAACGATTGCACAACTCGTTAGACAACTCCAGGTTCGACCCGGCGATGCCTGGCAGAAACCACTCCACGGTAGTCATTCATGACCTGAGTAGGAGACTCACAAGGCTCTCAAGGCTGCAGACGACCGCCGATACTCTTGCACATGGCCCCCGCACGTCCACTGAAACTCCCAGCCTTTGTGCGATAGCAGCCCCCAAGCCCCCAAACCCCAAGCTCCGACTCGTTTCCTGAGTGCCGAACACTCAGCGCCCCGTACTTGCACCGATCGAAGGGCTTGGCATCATCGTAAGCACCACCGAAGAGCTCCTGCAAGTTTGGGCTTTTAGGGTTTCGGCGCTCACACTGGGACACTCGAGGCGAGGCATGTGGCCTTTGGGGTCTGGGAACTTTAGCGTTTTGAGGTTTAGGGTAGATCTGAATTGTTCGTGCAAGTTTGAGCTTGGATTCTGCAAAGCTGGATATGAAAAAGAAGCAGTTCACAACAGTGGCATTCACTTCTCATGTTCTCCAAAAAGGAGTCAAAGCGTACTCAGCGAGGGAGGTACAGGGGCGGAGAGAGAGGCAGAGGGACAAAGAGACAGAGAGAGAGAGAGAGAGAGAGAGAGAGAGAGAGAGAGGGAGCTCTAGCTCAGGCCGTGTCCCTTTCCCAGTTCTGGCGCGTGCGGTTCTCAGGGTCCAAGGCCTGAGAAGATGCGGACATGATTCATGTCTTCTCCAAGGCTGAACACATGCACGACCAGACGATAATCGCAACTTGCATCTTTATGTTTCCTGGTTTCGCTTGTTCGTATGTCTATGTTCAATGATTTCCTGTGAATGGTTATGCAGGCTCGGACTTGAAGCAAGACGGGCTTGAGGGATCCAAAGTCAGCATGGCGCCGACTGTTCCTCTTCATGTTAACTAGTCATTTCACAAGTTCGAATGTTTATACCGACAGTCGTAGTGACTTGCAGCACATGCGTGGTTCACTCGCTCTCACTCAAGGTGAAGCCTCCTGAGCTAAAAGGCTTCGGGTCAAGTCTGTTTGCGTAGTGGGCTGTTCGAGGCTGATGTGCTGCCTCCGACATCGCTCACGCTTCAGATGCTGAAGGTGGTCACGACAAAGATGAATGTACCATCTGCGATGCTGGGGCAGCGCCGATTGCAGAAGTGTTTGTCAAGTTCGATGCTGCAGGTCAGGAAGGCGAGTCCATGTGTGTGCCGAGGACATACGAGGAAACTAAAGATATGGCATCGTGCACGGTGTCAAGAGTCCGCAAGCGAAGGGCACACCAACGACCTGTAGCCATGTTAGCCTTGCAGCCAGTCGTCAAAGCTTAAAGCATGACAAGATCTTGGAGCTGCTGATCGCTAGATACCTGCTCTGAGGCACGGGCTCCGCAGCTGGTCTTCGTCTCGAACTGGTTCCGATAGTACTCGTCTATCTGCACCGGGCTTTGGGATTAGAAGGCTTGGTTGGTCTTTGGGATTTCGGATTCAGGGCTCCTGGATGAAGCGCTGAACGAAAGGAGAAAAGAGCCAAACCCGCAGGCAAACCTGAATCATATGGGAGGCCTCAGCCAAAGTGACGGTCCAAATGATGATGGCGGTGATTGACATCATCCTTTCACATTCATCACCGAACAAACCACAACCATATCAATGCCGCCACCACCACCACCACCGCCACCACCACGAGCATGATGCTATCATCGTCGCCATTGATCATTATCCTTGTCATTGTCATTGTCATCACCACCGTCGTCACCGTCTTCTTCGCCGCTGCCATTGTCGCCGGCACCACTAATCATGACCATGATTCCCATTCGATGCCATCATCGCCTTCGCTGTCTTAACCACGAAACCATATAGCAACCCTCGAAGTATTCAGGCGGGCCCGTTGGAAAGCTCTCCTGGTCATTCCAGCCCCCATTCGCGGAGATCTGGCAAGGATGCTCAAAACCCTTTCAACTTCGATCGCAGACGGCAGAAGCCGCTGCAAAGCCCTATTTCAGCGCCTTTAGGTGCCCTAAACTATCGTAAACTACTCCACCTCACCTCATGCATCACCGAACCGTTGCTCCATGTGCAGGGGGGCCTCCATGAAGGCCCCGACGCGGTCTAAGTGCAGGTGCACGACTACCGGCGCAAGATCCTGCTCAGAAGGGGGCCATCTTTTCCTACTCTAACGTCTCGGAGTGGCCGATGGGCCTTTCTTGAAGGGATTCTATGGCGGCGATGCGGATGTAGACTGATTCTGGCACTTCTGAATCATCGTGAAAGCAGTTGGCCCTCAACTTGGAGAGACAGAAGCCCCTGAACCCAACCTACAACAGCAGACTTGGTTGGGCCACAAAAACATTCATGCGCCACGTCATGAAGTATATACACTGGGGCATTCCTGGTTACGCAACATAAGGATCCCTAAGACTAAGAAACACGAAACAAGCCCGCCAAGTACCACCTACGAAGTCTCTGCTAACCGCGCCTGGATCCAGTCCAAGACTGTCCCCAGCATCTCGTCGCCTCCCAAGTTGATGGTTTCGGATTCAGGGCTTCGGGTTTAGGGCTTAGGATTCAGGGCTTACTGGAGCATGAGATTCTCTCGTCCTGTCGGAACGAGGCCCAGAGTTCCCCAACACAAAGCGCATACGATTCTGGCTGCGGCCTTGCTTGAAGCGCTCGTCTTTCTGGGCTTTGCTTGGGTAGTTCGGGTCTGTGCTCGCACAGTGGCTACTCAAAGCAAGCAGACTTAACGGCACAATACAAAAACCCGCCCTGCATCCCCTACGACCTGAACTGCCACAGCATGGAAGCACAAAACGAAACCAGCCGAACCCACCAAGGCCGGGAAGTCCCCAACCCTCACGGACCTTCGACTTTCTCCGAAATACCTGAAAACAGAAAAGCAAGAAGAAGAAACACGACAGGGCGGTTAAAGGGCTGCTACTCTGCAAGCGTGGAGTTACAACCCCACAGCAACAAGGGGACATCGCCCACGCGAAACTGCATCACACGATCCCTCTATTCCAAACGTGAACCCTTATATAAAGGCACTTTCTGCCCTATATAACCCCTGCTCCAACTATGAAGTCCCTGCATTGGTCCAGCCCGACCCCCGCTGGCCGTGGCCGAGCTTCGTAAACCGCTCCCGGAGCTTCGGAAGTGCCTCTTGCAGGCCACTGGAGTCTCGACTTCAACGCCCCGGAGTTCCGGTGGTACTGTAGGGGCAAGTAGGGGCGTCCTATGTAGGGTTCTTCGCGCGAGCAAGCTCCCACTGCTTAAGAAGATAGATGGTGGAGCTGCTGGACTGGCACTCCGACTCAAAACTCTGGAGCAGTTGGATAAGATGATGGAAACTGCAACAAGTAATCCTTTTGTTCAAGAGAACGTGCTCTGATGACAGGCTCTTTGGGGGGGCATTCTCAACTTTAGTAGCCAAGGCGCAGGAGTGAGTGGAGGGTAGGACTGAGGCTTTAAAACACTCAGCCGACTCCGACCTCCTGCCATCATGAAATACCCTCCTAGGCTGCAGAAGGCCGCAAAAAAAACACTACGTAGTGTATCCCTATGATATCCATAACTACTACCCCCTCAACATCCATTCAATCCAGACCGACCCTGACCCTAGAAGTGGGCCCTCCCTAGCCGCTAGCCTCGTCGTGGAGCCTCGTGGCCTGCCGGGCTTCGTGATGCCAGCACCGCCGCCAAAGTTACGACGACCACCACGCAGACTATCCATACAAAACCTACTTCTGACGTTGCGGTTACAAGTTGTTCTACCCTAACAGCATCATATTCTGTCCTCCGAATGCACGGCAGGGGAAGCCTTGTTTTACGAAACCTGCACTCGCTCTTCTAAAGCCGCCGCAGACACTGCCTGTACGCACACTTCTACGCGTATCACTTGAAACTCTTCGCCCCCGGCTTCTGCGCCTGGGCGCGAACCGTGTAGAGCGCCTTGCGCTGGCAGCTCTCCAGCCCGGCGATCGCCTGCATCTCCTCAGAGAAAACTTAATCAAAGACATCTAGACTCCACTCTGCATCGCCACCCCATCTCCATGCTGTGCAACAGATGCCTGGTCACTCCAGCTGGGATTCTGGCCGTCTCAGGTAGCAGCAGGCCCCAAAATGCCTCGCAAACCCACTGCCTTGCTTCCTGCCTCCTGCCTCCTGGGCGTCAGATGCATACATCCACTATCCTGTCATCCACCCAAGAACTGGCCAGAAATTATGGGGTATACAGTACGAGTAAATAATAGGGTTTACGTAGTGTTTCCGTATTCTAGTAACTTAACTTAGGTTCCTTAAACGAAGCACCAGGCTCGAAGCCCCGCCTGCTGCTCGTCCAAGATGCCAGACTCCCGCAGGGCACTGGCCACGGACGCATCCTCTCTTGCACGGGAAGCAGGAGCGAGCGTGGGCAAATGCCCCAGAACTTCAAACAGCTTCTCTTCTTCTAGGCTAAGGCGACTCGGAAAGACGAACACGTCCTCGGTGCTCTGTAACTCCGGGAGTTGCTATACTCCCGCTGCTCCAGCCACAGGGAAAACAAGAAAGGGAGGACGTAAAGAATCGGTTCAAGAAGGAAAGAGAAAGTCCTTGACAAGTAAAGAGGAATAAGGAAGCATCAATCAAGAACTTCGGGCGGTCTGCCTCGACTCCACTAAGAATCCAGGCGGGCGGCACGACCTGACGCCAAGAATGCAAAAGGGAGTTGCAAGGCACTCAGCGCATGGAGGCTGAACCACTGGACTGATCGGAGATGCTGGACTTCAGTACTCACAATGCTCAGCCGTTCCAGCCGTTCAAAATGTACCTGTTGTATCGGGGCCTGAATAACTAGAAGAGAGTGTTGGACGCAAGTTGAGTATGACTACACTCGGGAACCCGAATAGAGGCTACTAGTTATTTGAGCATTGCCCTTTCGACAATCCCGTCTTCCGGCCAAAACGCCTGGCGTGCGGTCCACTTCCGTGTGGTGTCCGTGCCGAAGCCAAACTGCAGAAGGACCCCGAAGGTGCCTGGCACTCGGGGAAGTTCGGGGAATCTCGGCTTCTGCACCTTACTTAGTATGTACCATCTATACATCTGTGTACACACACACCACATATATATATATGAAAAAACACACATATGTGTATATAGATATATACATACACACACTTCTCAGCTTGGCTTTCTGGGTCTTGTGATTGCATGGAGGCTCTGTCGTTTTAGCGTGAACCGTCTTCCGAACAGGTAAGTCGAAAGCTCAACCCGACCGAAACTCGAAGATCCTAATCCAAAACCCGACTCACACCATCGCGTGCCTGGGCCCATGTCGGCCTTGCCGAAATGCATGTGAACCCCAACTTTGAGCACCTGCGCCGGGGTCGTGCGGTGGAGCAGTGGAAATTCGATTGTTCAAGGCCCCGGGAAGTGCTGGAGGATCTGCAGCGCAACAAGCAGAACAAGAGCCACACTTCTGCAGCAACGACAGATACAACCAGAATGACGGCAGTAACAGTAGCAAAACACCCGAAGGCAACAGAGCCAAACTTACAAGACTGAGACTCAGAAGCACCAGTTCTTGATCACCCATATCTCCATGCACGAATCCTTCCATGCAGCCTGGGCTTCCCTCCAGCCGTGGCTCTTCTGGCCCTGGACGAAGTAGTGGGCCTGAGACCGGCTCAGCTTTTAGTCGGGACTTCGGTTTTAAATGCACCAAAATAATGTCCTTTACTATACTAAAATACCATAAGATACCGTAATATACTGTACTAGAATATACTATACTATACTTTTTACCACAAGATACGTACCACAATATACCATGGTATGCTGATCGAGGAGACTCCCATGCTGAGTTTCTGGGGCAGTACAGGCAGTGTGTACTCCAACGTGTCACGTCAGCACTGCACGGGATAAATTGACCGCGGCTCAGCCCTACTGAAGCGCTGCGACGCTGACACTTTATAATAGTTGTTATATGATATCATGTTCTCTCCTGTTATATACTATTATATACTACTATATACTATTCTTGTACCAAACTATATTACAACCTGTTTGTATCATATTACATTTACTTTGCCAGCTCCATCTCTGCTTTTCGCCCAAGCTCGCGCAAGTCTGATTCGCAACACTGCTGCAGTGATTGACTGGTTCGCGCGACTCGTCTATCTGCGCGAAGAACAGCTAAACAACAATGCAGCTACAGCCGAAAAGGCATGTCGCACCCGCCCCCAAAGACTGCCAACAGAAGCACGAGTCGTCGCAGTCGTCGTAGCAGTAGCAGCAGTGCTAGCCGCAGCAGGAGCAGCAGCCGTATCAGCAGCAGTAGCAGTGGAAGCAGGAGCCGGGGCAGCAGCAGCAGCAGCAGTCGTCGTCGTCTTGCGAGTAGCACAAGAGTTGCAGTTCCCCCTTTGTTGAATCCGTCGTGAAATGGATGCTGTTGACATCGCCGTGAAAGCATGCGTTCCGGTTTTCATTGGAATTGACAGCGACAATTCCAACAAATAGTGCTTCGTTGCTGGCTGATCACCCTCACCATCTTCACGTTCGTGGCTCTTCCCATTCCAATCAAAACCAAAGTGTACTTTACTTTTTCTCGGCCCCCAGCCCTGACGCGAGCACCCTCGGCGATGCCGATGTAGTCGCAGACATCCTTTCGGCCTCGGGGTTGAGGACTTGGAGTGGGAGTGTGGGAGTGACGCAGGACGAGGCTCTTCGGATCTCGAAAATGAAACACTCAGTGGCCTGTCATGTCAGCTTTCCTCGAAGGGATAGATAGAGCAATCTCCTGGGACCTGCCAGTTCCTACAGACATGCATGCCGTCTGTCCCGGCCAGGTAAGGCATCCTCAAATCGTGCCGACAACTTGTTGAAAGGAGTCCTCTGGCGGCAGGACTTCTCGGCCAATTGAGGTGGCATTGCCGCGTGCTACACTGTGCACGAACATCGCAAACGTCTCGTTGAAGTTCTGCTTCAAGCTTGTCAGCTTCTGAGGTGACTCAAGAATGTCAGATCCAAGATGTCATTGCCAGGCGGCAAAGTCAACCACACCTTCTGACATGCTCCGGAGTGCAAATCTCGAATATAAGTGCGGCAGACTCGTCGCGACAGCAATTCGGCTTCTGGGTCTGTCGCGGGGCGACTAAGGCATTAGCCGGGAAAGAGGGGGTGACTTAAAGCAACCCGTACCTCGCCTACACCCTTTTTGCAACTGGGCTTGGGGATTGGCCAGATCCTCGCCTAAACGCCAACCTTAAAACCCTAAACTAAACCCTTCATCACAACCAGAGCCGAGGGACTCGTCGAGATGCGCAGGCGCCTCTGTTCGAAGAGCTGGCGTATGCCGCCCATCTTCCCAACGAAGGCCTTTGGCGGGCTACTTTGGAGCTTAGCTGGGCGCTCCCCTCGGCCGGGTGCAGAGGGCCCTCTCACCTGCAAAAGCTTCACATAGGGAGTGAGAGGGAGAGAGAGCATCAGAATCGGACGAGACTGATGCATGTAAGCGCAATAGTGCGCGAAGAAGCACAGACTCTTCCCGCTTCTTGCAGCGGTAGCCGAATCCCTGGTCTCGTCTGCCCAAGCGCCTGGAACTTTTGCAAAGAGACCTTGCCATCTTCCTGGCATTCGAGGCCGCGGTACCAGGGATCTGGCGTTGGGGACTGTTGCTAACCACATTCGTCCTTGGGGCCTCTAATTAGACACAGCGCGTGAGCACATATACAACTTCTTGCGATAGATAGAACGCGAGTAGACCATACTATACACCTCTTTACTCCACTCTACTGGACTCTACGCTGCTATGCTATCTATATACCCCAAAACCCCACTCTTATCATCCGGGCCCCTATATATCTGTTGACGAGGAGGCACCTGCAGAGCTGTGCACCCAAGCGCCGGGTGTCTGCAGCTGATACTTTTAATCCTCGCGCTGCGAGTTTTTGACCCCGGGCTCAACCCAGAGAGCCTAAAATCACGCGAACATTGAATTTGAATCCTCGGCTGCCCACGGCTGGAAAGGAAACGACACGGTCAACCATGGGTTCAAGGTACATCCAAGGTATGAGACAAAACTCGTCTTCACATCCCGATGACCCCCAGCCCCCTCACGGGATCGCTTGAGGCTGCCGGGCTTTCCGCATGGCCAGCGTTGTGGACTGATATGCCGACACGGGGTACCGGCCTACACGCCCGGAAAAAAGCATGCTCATTGCGCACGATGATGCAGCAGCTGTCATGTCGCTTTTGTAATGGACCTGCAAATTACTGTAAGAGTGCGACCCGAAGTGGTAGCTTGCTGCCAAAGGTTAGGAGACGATGAATCCGACTTTGTCTGCCTACCGCTATGGTGATGGGCAGAGGCCGGCCCCCCGCCGTGGCATTGCTCTAGGGGTCAGGGCCCCGAGAAAACCCTCCGGGTCGCCGGTGGGCAGACTGCAGGCGAGATTTCGACTGCAGGTCTGCCAGTGCGAGGCTATTCTACTCAAACCCCACTCCCGACATCACCACAATGTGGCGACAGGCAGGAAGCGGATTCCATGGCAGCGACCCGGAATGATGCACGAAGTATTGGGGAGGAACCTCACCCTGCGACGCAGCCGTCGAATAAATCCCCTTATGTCGAGGTTAGGACGGATTGTACTCGGATGTCTGGCCCCACATGTCAGGATGCTAAACCTGAACTGGCCTTCTTGAGCCACGATTGCTACTAGTCTTACGACGTTCGGAGTCGTCAGCCGATTTTCGTCGCTGGTTGGACCTGCTCTGTTCAGTCAGCGGCACGTCCACAGGGATTCCCCATAAGCGTTGCCTTGCGGAGCAACATGGCTGCATGCCAGGCGTGGGCTTGCATTAACAAGCCCAGGGCCACAGGCGGCATGGGATGCTCAAAAGCGAGATTTCGAGAATCGATCCCAGGAGCTCAGAGTCTCAAAATCCTCCTCCGTTTTCCGGTCTTGCCATCTCGCAGTTCGCGGCATCCCACTTTAAAGACAAGCTGCAGCCGTTGTGCTTCGGGCCAGCTTGGCAACAGGAGCTTTAAAAAAAAATCTTGGAACTCCGTGGTACGGCAGTCGGGTGGTCGGGGTGAGGACGAAGCCTCGGACGGCGGGTGGACCTTGAGCCTGAGCTAAGTCAGCCAAGTGTCCCCCTGCATCGGCCTGGGGCCCCGTCCCTTGCCTTCTGCCTCTAAGCAGGACGTGACATGCGCTGCAGTCTTCCCGCAGGTTGACAGCAGTGGCACGTGCTTCAGTAGGCCTGCTCCTTAGCTGGACAGAAGTCAACCATCAAAGGCATGCGGCGACCTTCGCGTGCTGCCAAGAAGCCATCCAGGCCGTGCGCTCCACTTCGTTCATGGCCATGGACCAGTTGGCGAACTCGCGCTGAGGGATGGCCCGTCGCCTCGGCTATGCCGAGAACTTCCTGTGAGGTGCATGACGGCTGGGGTTTCAAGCGGTCCGGCGGTCCGCCGAGGGCGCTGGGCTTCTGCGCCAAGCCCGTCTACTTGCGGGCGCGAGCGTGAATCCACCCAAAATGCTGGAATCCCAGTGAAGGAGGAAGAGGGGCCGAACGCTGTCATGGACCACGGTGTGCCGCGGGTCATTGCTGATGCGCTCCCACAGCCTGCAGCAACTTCTGCGAACTGGACAATGAAGGTGCAAGTAAAAAGACCCCCCAGCGAAGGACGCAAAAAGAGCCCGTGCGCACCCCGCAAAGCTCAAAGAATCTAAGAAGAGCTGCCCAAAAGTCGTAGCATCGTCTGCCCCAAATCCGACACGAGCTTAACGGGCTGCCTTTCGATGGATTCCGGCGATCCTTCCAGAACCTGGTAGACAACGGAGGTCCTGCAGTGCGGGAGATGCTCTGACGTTGTTGTTGCATTACGATTCTCACTCTCACTACTCTCCGCCTATCTAGTTGCCATCATTCAAGGTGGATCGGTGGCCCCGCCTGTCATTGTAAAGCATCCAGCCGGTGATGCCGTTCTGGGAGTTCTTGACCTGTTCGTCGCTAGATGGCTAGCAGCTGGAGGCTGTGGGGATACTTGCGGCAACAAGAATCGGCACTAAAGCTCATCGACATGTAAAACTTGCATCACTGACACCCTCAAGCCGCCTTCTCCATACATACATTTTAGCACTCGCTCTCGACGTCGCAGGCGAGGTTTAGGGGCAACTTGTGGCGACCAACAAGCTACCGAGCTCCATACAGACATACATCCATGCATGCATGCATGCATGCATGCATGCATGCAGACATACATGCATACACAGACATACATACGTGTAGATATAGGTACATACATGCATACATATACTTATGTGGTCATCTATCTTGCTTCGTGCTTTCTGAGGTCCCAGCCATTGCTCGTGGAACGACCTGATCCACGATGCCTTTGGCGCTGTCTTGGGCATCGTTGATGACCGACTTGTACATCAGCTGCCTGGAGGCTTCGAAGGTTCCACAGTATAAAAGGGCTGCGTGAGTCTGCCAGCGCTTCAAGACGGCAGCAGCTGGCTTTGAGGAGCTTAGCCCACTGCTCAGATGCCTAGCACCTTCATGCCTTCCAGCTACTAAACAGCAACACACAGATGGGGAGAAGCGGCGGGGAGAAAGAGACAGCGAGAGACAGAGAGAGCTTTGCTCGTTGGCTCTATGAAGGCCCCAAAACCTACCCTTCCGGCCAGCGCACATGAGCTGGCTCTTCGCACAGTCTTCGCAAGACGAGGATCCTGGCGGGCTTTTTGCTTCCGTTCAGGCTGTCGGAGCGTAGGGTCCAGAGCATCCGTGGTTTTCAAGCTAGGTATGTGGCTGCGTCTTTTTGAGTATTCTGATACCTGTGTATCTGCTTCTTCAACTACTTGTATGCTTGCATGAGACTGCATGTATGTACAAACCTGCTCCTGCCTGTGCATGCATGCATGCATGCACATTTGTGTGCGCATGCGTGGATTGCAGCGAAAGCTGACAGTCGTGAAGTTGAACTACTACAGGAGTCTGACCACTTAGTCATACTATCCTCTTACGCTCCATATATTCTTCTACTAAGTCTACCCCAAACCCCTACCCTAATCTAGAGGATTTAGGGCTCTGAGTCTGGGGGAGAGCTTTGAGTGGCCTTTATACTCAGAATGGGATCTTGGGGTATATGACAATTGTAATTAATGAGAACCCTGATAATAACAATCATCATCATCATAAGAAGTCCTGAGGAATACTATTGGCAATGAATTACTTAGGCTCCCATCTTGGGCCAAGCGCCTTGGCCGAAGCTCGAACAGCGCATGCCCCAGCCAACAGGGAAGTTCCGAGAGTCCACCTGGCAGAGACAGAATATTAGAGTAGTTCTCTAAATTAGAATCCCTTTTAGGGTTCCTTTTTATAAGGGTGCCGTACTATATCAAAAGGGACCCTAGTTTAGAGAACTGCCCATTAGGGTTGGGGGTGTCGACTCTCAGACTCGCACAAGGCAGGCAAGGCTCCAAATGGTCCCGTCACACAAGATGACTCAATGCAAGGTTTCGGGTGCTCAGGTTTGGGCTCTTTTGCCTCCCATCTGGCTAGGACGAAGCCCACGTGGCGGTAGTGTTTGGAAAGACTGTTGACCATAGGGTTTAGGGAAAGGTAGATTTTTGTTTTAGCACTCGCGCTCGGAGATTTTAGACTTGGACTAGACTTAGACTGTTCAGAGCTCCTGGTGGAACATATATCCTTCCCCTGTAGAGTCTAGTAGAGCTTCTTGGCCATGTGTGTTTTTGCATTTGCCTCCTGCCCAGCCTAGTAACGCGTTTTTGCAGCCTAGGCCGAAGGAGTAATGGGCTCAGGGCTTCGGGTGGCCCCGAGAGATTCGACCAGGGACATAATCCAAGAGGCTTTCTCCACCGTCACGGTGTCCTCGTCCACCACATGCCTTTGATCCTTTTAGGCAAGATTGCCGTGCATGGCACGATGCCATCTAAACGAAACTTCCGCTCCTGGCAGATAGACGTCCACAGCCGCTCGACCACCTCAGTTAGGGCATGATGCCTGGGGGAGCGCTGGGAAAAAGTGCGTCTCAGGCAAAGACCGAACTTTCATGGTGGGTATGACGACTTGACGGACTCATCAAAAGACACACCAAAGCACTGAAGCCCTGAATGCACGCCATGTCCGACACCGAAGTGGGACAAGCACTGCTCTACTCCAGCCACGCAACCTCTGGGCTTCCCTCCAACACCTAGGGCAGTGGCGTCTGTGTCTGTTTCTGGCACACGTTGACAGTTCGAACGTGGGCGACTGACGCGTTGAGAAGATGCGAGTCCTAGCACTTCATAATACTTCATAACACGACACAACTGCCTATACTCCGCTTCTGCTTTGAGGCACCAATGGCATGCACAACATGCTGGCGACGACTCCCTTCTCGAGGACAGCATTTTTTCTGAGAACTGCAGCTTCGAAGGCCGGTGGAAGTCTCCTGCGCCTCTTTAACAGAATCGGCCACAGGAGACACCCCAGACAAAAAACGGCGCGGAGGCAAAGTGTGAAATCCAAAAGCAACGGGGCCTGCCACACGTGCTTCAACTTCGCGTCATAACCTCACGGAGGCGGCTTGCAAGGAGCCCCACTGCGGACGTATCGGCGAAACCTACGGCTGCTGCAGTCACACAGATCATCCTAGGAGTCACGGAAATGCCGTGGCTTTTGCATCTTTTGGCCTGATCCCCTCTTCTGAACCAGCCGGTGGCTCTATGGTCACCCATTCTTTCGGGATCTCGATTCTTTGCCTCTAAGCCCCGCCCCTCTATCACTTCATAGGGAATTCTCCATTTAATGAAAGCCTTCCAACCCGAGATGATACTAGTAACACGCTTGAGTCTGCGCGCGATTCCGATCCACCATGGGCCCCCCGGCCCCCAATCAAGCCAAGCAGCACATGTGGCCGGAGACTTGGCAAGACAGGTTGCTCTTCACGGACCTGACAGGACGTGGTGGTGGTGATGAATTTATTGGACACATGCTTCCTCGGTCTCCAGGGAAGCTATCCGGAGCCTGTGGACCAGCGTTATAGAGGAGAGCACGGGAGAGGCGAGAGGGAGGAGAGGGGGCTGCCGGCACTTACATCCGTACCCCGCGAGAAGCCAGAAAGCATGTGATACAGAGCCCACTGGGGGCCCAGCTTGGCCACGATGTCCTCGATCTGCTGCGAGGCCTTGTTAGCATCTCCCCGCCTTGGGCGCTCCAGGGCTTAGCAAGGCTTGGGACTAAGTTCTCCAACCCGGAGACAGAGGAGAGTGAGTGAGTGAGTGCGTGAGTGAGTGAGTGAGTGAGTGAGCGAGTGAGCGCGTGAGTGAGTGCGTGAGTGACTGAGTGAGCGAGTGAGCGCGTGAGTGAGTGCGTGAGTGAGTGCGTGAGCGAGTGAGAGAGTGAGCGTGTGAGAGAGAGAATGAAGATGCCGGGAATGGCCCGAACCACATAGATCATCCACTTTCTTCCGGGCTGCATCGTCGATGTGTAGGAGATGCGCGTCAGAGCTGGCACCTCGCAACGAGATCCTGAGGCTGCGGACACGTGGACATGCGACGAAAGATGCCAACACAACAAACATATTAGGCTGAATGGTCTATTCCATTCGTGACAATCGGGAAAAACTGGCATCACCCTGCTTCCAAAGCCTGGTGGGCCTTGCCAATTCATCACAGCTTCCGCACGTTCGGAACATCTGCTGCCAGGTCAAGCGGCTACTGCCTTCTTCACCGACGACCAACATCAGAGCTGAGTTAGCCGATTACCGGATTCGGAACAGCTGGATCCAGCGTGCAGAACAGGAAGCCTCTACGGGTTTCCTCACGTTCAACAGTCATGATGGGAAGGAGGCACGATGACATGAGCTGTCCTTTCGAGTGCCACTGCTGGCCGCACAGCGCAGCACAGCTTCCTAGGCATGCGATGGGCTGCAAGCAGCAGGAGCAACGCTCCACGTTCAAAATCATGTCAAAACTGGGAATCATCCGATGATGTACCTGTTACCTGTATACCGTATACCAGGAAAAAAACTATGCCAGTTCCGTGCCTGCCAGCACGCCGCTAGCGAGTCGTGGGCGCAGACGGCTGGCGAAGAAGGCCATGGCTGCGTCTTGAGCAACAGGCCAAATCAACCCTTTGATGCGGAGACCCCAACTTAGTACACATCCGGATTCTTCCTCCAGAATCCTGTAAGCTCAGTCGTTCTTGATGTCCAACGATTATGGATAGAACCTTATGCCTCGCCCAGGGTAGTCTGTTGGGCCATGCTCCCCCCTGCTGAGCCGTCAGCACGGGAAGCAAATCCCGTCAACCAACCCATCTCAGCTTACGGCCTCTATCCACATACCTGCACAGACCGGATCCCAAAGCCGCCGTTTAGCAACCACACTCCAGAGTTGGAGATCTGTACCGACATTTCTGTCGAAGCCACCAGCCTCGTCTTTGTTCATGAACAGGTTCCACCCCTCGGATCCCCACCTTGTTCACACAGGGGTTACGTCTGAGAACTTTGCCTTGCAACGGCAATGCTGTATTCGGGAGTATCCAGCAAGGGCAGTGTAGGCACGGCATGCCAAAGTATTGAAACCCTGCGGGCACAAGGGCCGAAAATCGATCACTGCGTCATGCGCAGCCAAGGGTTACAGTTTTGCACGGTGGCGGACGGAGATGGCAATGCACAGATGTGCCTTCTTCCACAAACCGAGCTGAGGCCGCATCCCGAGGTAGGCACACATATGCCGGCACTCCATGGCATCTAGGAAACCTGTGGAAGTCACAGCGACCCAACGAGCAGACGCAGATCATCTAATGTCATGAAGATGCTCCAAAGCACTGTATAAGATCCTGACCAGAGCCGTCCTTGTCAAAGCGGCGAAATGCCTGCTCATGTGAGTAGCAGTAGCAGTAGCAGCAGCAGCAGCAGCAGCAGTAGTAGTACTAGTAGCAGCAGGAGGAGGAGGAGGAGTAGTAGTAGTAGTAGTAGTAGAGCAGTCGTCGGCATCTTCGCACAAGCATTAGTTAGGATGATGGTGCTACTAGTCGTATAATAGTTGTAGTAGTCGTCGTCGTCGTCATCGTTGCCGTCGTCCTTCGCAGTAGCAGCAGTAGGGGTAGCAGTGGCAGTAGCAGCAGCAGTCGCAGTCGCAGTAGCAGCAGCAGCAGCAGCAGCAACAGCAGCAGCAGTAGTCGCAGTGGCAGTGGCAGTAGCAGCAGCAGTGCTAGTACTAGCACTGGTACTACAGCAGCAGCAGCAGCAGCAGTAGTAGTCATTCTTTTGTAGTCGTCGTCGTCGTGGTAGTTGTTTCAGGAGAAGGAGGGGGGAAGAGGAGGAGCAGGAGTAGCACGGTGGTTCTGGTCGTGGATTCGTCTCAGGAGATCCAGAGCATCCGCTGGAACGGAATCGTCCGTATCTGCATCTGTGCGCAGCACTGCTCGCGGGAAGCTGCTGTGAGAGTAGAAGGGACTTTGAGAGGTTCAGGCTTGGGATTCAGAATGCTAAGAACGCCATAAAGTGCGTTGTGTAGAGGAGGTACTTCCGTTGCTTGTCTGAGCTACCAGGGATCCCGACAAAGATGGTAGCATTTCGAGTTCCGGTTTCCTGGGCCATAATCGCAGAATGCCTGCCTTTGGCTGGCCGTGATTCTGGCTGTGATCTCAACAGAGTCAGAGAGATGTGACCTCCCATATTGCACAGAACACGAGCGCATATGTAAAGATGGCCTATAGTTCCAAAACCCAACACAATTTGCCAACCTTAATGAAAGGGCATGGCCTTCCGGGAACATGTTGACAGGATGGGTGTAGGGTGTCGGAACCTGCGAATGCAGAGCATGGGAATGTTGCCTTGCAGAGCTGCTTCTGGCCTTTACAATGCTTGTTTTAGAAGGGCTGTGGATTCACCGCTCGCTTACCGACCTGAACCTAAACCCCAGATGAACCCTTAACTACTCAGGGGATGCCCAGGATGCTCATCACTCATAAGGCTTGCCTCTAGAAGTACGGCTATCCGACCTGCCTGGAAACACACGCTCAGGGTCGATTGCCAGCAAGATGAAACCTATAGTGAAGCAAGAGGAGCTTTGGAACCTGCCCTCGTATTTCTTGCACTTTGTCACAGACCTCTTGCAGATGTCGAACGACACGGTCTTTTAACGGTCTTCGGCTGCAGCAAGTACGACTAAGAACGGCTTAGGGGTTATGGCATGACCGATGAGCTAGATACACATCGCCGAAACCCTAAACCCTAAACCCCCAAAAGCAGGTAAAATAATGGCTTAATTAACACCCACAAAACTATAAAAAGGCCATTGTTCTACATACTTTAGGGGCCCAGGTAAACCCTAAGCCCAACATCACAGCCCAGATTCGACGAAGCGCACCAGGCACGTCCCAACGATGGATCGTGCAGTGTCACACGCGGGGCACCTGCAGAGATCGAAGATCCTGCTCTTCCCACTCATAGACTCATAGCTGGCGAAAAAGCTATCCTTAATCATCTCTTGCACGGTGAGACCATGCCTGCCTCAAATCCCTTGTACCCCCTTTTGCCCACAATCCCAAAGCCCTCTCTGCCTCCCAGCGAATCAGCTAAAGTTCTGATTATCGAAGACTGAACTGAAGACCTGTCAGCGCCACACAGCTTGATGCTTCACGGGTTGCGCCCAGGACGGTACAGGTAAAGCTAAGACCCTCAAGCCCTACAAGCCTTATTCTTTTAATCACAAAAAGACCTGCACAAACCTTAAACCCCATATACCCTGTAAAGCGTTAAAACTCCTACGCACAACCTTATGAACCCTATAAAACCTATAAGCCCGACACGCTTTAAACCCTATAACATCCCATAAGCCCTCAACCCTTCGCTGCCAAAGGGCTCAAATTGAAGCAAGCCTGATTCCGAAGACCTTCCGAAAGGACCCTTATTTGAGGGTTTAGGGTTTAGGGTTTAGGGTTTAGGTTGAGGCATAGACCTTAAGTTATACTACGAATTCTAAGGCCCCCTTTAATGACACTACGATCCCTAAGAGGTTTTGGAAGGTCTGGATCCCGAAGCACAGCCATGGCTGCAGTGCCATCTTGCCAGTGCGAGCCTCCTCCAAACGAGGACCCCCTTAGGATTTATATAGGGTTTAGTTTTGGGCCCTAGGCTTCCTTAAGGATCCTTAGGATTTATATAGGGTTTAGTTTAGGGCCTTCTAGGCTTCCTTAAATGTTGCTTAAAGGGGTCGAGGGCTCTAAAAGATCCCGGGTCTAGGGTTTACAGCTTAGGGTACCCCCCCTCCTGAAAACAAAGCACTGGGAACCTCAACAGCTTCAGGGGCTTTTTCTGTGAGAGCGGTATAATTGTAGCGTTACAACTTCCGAAATATTGATGTATCTCTTACAAACCCTACAAAACCGCACAAATCCGTCAAAAACTTTTGCAACCCGTATGAGACCTTATGGAGTATCGGTTTTCTTATGGGGTCCTGATGAAGTGGAGGGCCTGGAAAGCACCCATTGTGGGTCTGTGACGTCGTAGTAGCAGTAGTCGTAGTAGAAGCAGTAGTGGTAGTCGCAGTAGTAGTAGCAGTAGTAGTAGTCGTCGTCGTAGTAGTAGTAGTAACTTAGTAGGAGTATGAGCCGCAGTAGAGGCAGTACTTGTAGCGGGGGAGGGGGGGGCAGGTTAAACTGCCCTAAACCCCTAAAGCCCCAATCCCCTAAATCTCTAGACCAAAAGCCCTAAACCCCACACCCCCAAACCCTAAGCCCTAAAGCCCCAAACCCCTAAATCCCTAAACCCTAAGCCCTAAAGCCCCAAACCCCTAAATCCGTAAAGCCCTAAAACTTAAAAAACTTAAAGGAGCCTGCGGTGCTCCTGACAGCGGCCAGCTCCGGAGCGACCAGGGCGGCCTGGCACCAGGCCCAGTAGGATCAGAGCTGATAAGGGCTTCAGGGTTCCTTCCTGGGTTTAGGTTTTAGGGTTTAGGGTTTTTTGGTTTAGGGTTTAGGTTTTAGGGTTCCTAGGATTTATAGGGTTAAGGTTTAGGTTTGAGGGTTCCTAGGATTTTATAGGGCTGAAAGGGCTAATTGGGTTTATCGGGCTTTTGGGGTTTAGGGTCGGCTGCTGAAGCTGTGAAGTTTGAGGATATAAGGTTTGAAGGGGTTAAGGTTTAAGCCTACAGGGTCATAGGGTTTAGAATGGTAGGTCTAAGGGTTTAGAATGGTAGGGTTTTTTGGTTCCGAGTGTTGTAGGGTTCCGGGGATTTGTGAGGCTTTATAAAATTTTAAAAGGGCACTCTGTCTCTCTGGCTCTCTCTCCGCCTCGCTCTCTCTCTCTCTCTCTCTCTTTCTCTGTCTTTCTCTCTCCCTCTCTCTCTCGCGAGAGAGAGAGGAGCCAGAGCTTAATCGGCTGTATTGCCGACCTCAACACGAACGGTCGTCGTGTCTAGGTTTTCGTCGTTCGTCGGGCTTGGGGGTTACGGTTTAGAGCCCAGAACTCAGAACTGTATAAGTTCCTCGCTTCGATTGAATGACTGAGTGCTTGAGTGATTGATTGCTCGGCTTGGTTGGCTTGCTTGCCTTGCTTGGCTTGCTTGCTTGATTGATTGATTGACGGATTGGTTGACTGAATGACCGGTTGGTTGATTGATTGATTTGCTGTATGACTGTTTGTCTGACTGTTTGCCTGTCTGACTGTTTGTCTGTCTGACTGACTGACTGACTGACTGACTGACTGACTGGTTGATTCATTGATTGATTGATCGATTGATTGATTGATTGATCGATTGATCCATCGGTTCATTGCTTCATTGGTTCATTGATGAGTTGATTGAGTTGTCGATTTTTTGGTTGCTTGACTGAGAGACCGAGAGACTGACTGACTGACTGTCTGACGGACTGACGGACGGACTGACCGAGCGCTGACTTCTT